ATCGGCTTGTGTGTCTTCAGAGCCTGCCGAGGAGAAACGAGGGCTATTTTCTTATATAGATGTCATGAAATCTATCCTCTCAGAATTTCTGGAGTCAAAGGCTAAGCAGGTTTGCCCGGATACCTTCTGCTATTTGATCTACAAATAAATCTAGCCGGGAGACCTAAAACGGGTGTCACTTTTCAGCCGGAGCTGATCACAAAAAATCACTCTTTGGCCTCATTTGGAGCTGTTTACGTGTGCGGGGGCACAACGGTGTGTGAAACAGAACGGGGCCAGTATCTGCGCACCAACCGAGGCTTCAAAAATGAAGGGAAAAATAAGAAGCCTCAGAATCGCAAAGCCCAGCGACTTCGGAGAAACTTTTCCCTCATTCTCTCCAATTGCTAAAAGAAAACCTGATGTTCTTCTTTTAAAATGTGCCTGCCTCTAGGTCTTTGGCACAGGTTTGCCGATGGGAGGGCCGGCAATCTATTTAATGACTGCATTGACGTCAATAGCATAACTGAAATACTTACTAAGATGCATGAGTCCAACTTTCAGGGGGTGTGTGTTCACAGGCAGGAGCAACACACGAAACGGACTGCGTGGGAACGAACTGCCCGGGAAGAGCAGGAGCGGTGCTGGGTGTCCCAACACGCTCCGAGGGCACTCACTGCTCCTCTGCTGCAGGGAACCTTCCCAGGTCGCTCTGAAACACCTCTGCTTTCTCCAAGCAGCAGGAATCGTTTTGCATTTGACAGCCTCGGCATCGCTCGGTCACGTCACTGAGCTGCCATCCATCTGATTTATTCTGCAGTTGCTTGTTTCCAAGCGAGCATCATTATGGCAGCGCATTAAGAATAGTGCGCAGGGAGTCATGTTTAGGGACAAGCCTCCAGCACCACGCTGCTCTGCACACGCACTCTCAGCTCAGCTCCGCGGCGCTGCATGGCTCCCTATCAGAAGCAAAGCACCAACTCATCCCAGCCACCTGAAAACCACGGGATGCTGCAGTCCTCACTGCTGGCAGCCTAAAGCATGCCAACGGGACTTCAGCATGAATCACCTCTCTCGTACCTGCCCAGCGCCAGCGCCTCGCGAGAGCAAAGCCCCATCTGAGCGCGTGGGGCTGATGGGTGGCTGCAGCCAAGGGCCGAGCGGAGCACAGGACCCGGTACCTCCTGCAGGAGCCGGGACTCTCAGTCGCACAGGCTTTATCCAGTCCTTTGTTTATGCTTTATACAAACGTTCGTGCACGAGTCTGTGTACATCTTACACCCACATGAAAAATGAAAGAGTACGAGTTTTGGGTTCGTGTAAAGGCATGCGAGCAGTGCAGACAAACGTGTGGACGGGCAGGAAAGCAGAGGCTAAGGCACAAGCAAAAAGAATACCGAGCTCTCCCGCCCACCCCAGAGAGGAACTGTAACAAAGCTTTAATCCCACGAGCCCCAAGAAGCCCGTGTGTGACACAGCCCAAAGTGCCACCCCTCGAAGCCTCAGGTTGCAAAGCTGATCAGTGTTACGCCTAATGATATATTATATTGCTAGGTAATTAATGGTAAGGACGTGCTGTAATTATCCAGTGCTGAAGGCACCCGAGGGGCAGCAGCAGGAGCTGTGCAGTGCTGCTGGCAGCACGTCAGTGCAGTGACCCACTGGGGAACCAGTGTGCAGAGATGCCTGGTGCTCACAGGTCGGGTCCCACAGCCAGCTGCACTCCTGGAGGCTGAATGAGGCATAGATGGCTTAGCTGGGAGGGAACGAGGCTCAGTAAGGAAAATAAGCTTGGAGGAAGGAACAGAACTAAGCAGGGGCTGCCAGACCTGTTGCTGGGCATGGGTTTTATCGGCTGAATGGATGGAGCTGAAGACCCCTCACGAGTGCTCAGGGTGGTGAACTGAGAAGAGCAGGGCTGAGGGTTGGAGCTGAGATCTGAGGAGCACTGAGATCAAACAGAACGACTGCAGCAGAGGTCACGTTAAAAGAGAAAAGAGAAGCACACGGGAAGGGAACGCTGCAGAGATGAGCACGGCACTGTTTCTCTATTGCTAATTTCTGTAACGGTGGGAAAGGAGGTGGGCAGCACCTGTCCCAAACCCAAACCTCCATAAAAGTGCTCTGCAGTGCTTTGCACAGCCACGAACCTCACGGTCCCAACCAGTCCCACCATCCTGCCCAGCTGTGAAGCACAGGAGCTAATTAAGGACTGATGTACTTTTTGCTGCCGCTTCATATTTCCATGCCTAGTTCCTTAGGTACCTTAGGTTCCATTCCTAGTTCCTTAGGTAACTCACATAAGCACTTTTGTTTGTTCCTGTGATCTGTAGTTATAACAAAATAACAGGAAAAATCCGCCAGGTTTACTTAAGCTGATACCAAGGACAAAACACAGGATGTCCAATGCATATCCCTCTTCCTTTTATGGCTTGGTTATAAGGTTAAGAAAGCTCTGAAACCTCCAGTGACATCAGTGTGGGCTTGGGAACCGCTCTGCCCCACCAAGAGCCTGACCAGAATTGTTCACAGTTTCAAGAAAATGAAAGCAAGAAGAAGAATTTCATCACCCAACACAGACCATCCGTTTCGCCATGGGCCTGGGTCCTGTGTGATGCAACTCCTCGGGAGCACACGGGCACCAGATCTGGCTCCTCTGTCCTGCAAACGACTGACAAGCCCCTAAGGCTCTGCTGGATCACCAGCTGGCGTGCATTGCTTGCAGTACAAAGCTGAGTGCAGTTTGTGTCCCCCCAGGGTAATTTTATGAATGTACGCTGGTTTGCTCTAAACCCCGAGTCCTGCATTTCTCGTAACAGGATATAAATCACTCTGCTAACGACAGACAAGAGGAGGCACACGCAGGGTGCACACAGCGATGCCAATCGCTTGTGGTGGTGCATCGATGAATCAACGTGTGACATGGGAGAGCTAAAATCAAACACCGAGCTTTGCTGGTGGATCCATCCAGAGAATGTAACACATTTCAGTTAAAGACATGTCCTTCTGTCTAGAAGGGAGCAACACGGTGTGGCCCCAGTCTAAACCTCACCACTTCCTCCTCTGAAACCTGCAGGGAAGGCACAGCATCCCTTCAGGCACAGCAGGACAGGGGCTGCTTGGAACATCCCTCCTTCCACTCATAAGTCCTGGATCAACACACTGAAAGAAACACCCCGAACCCCTTCGCTCTTCCTGCACTGAAACGGCATCTTCCTTAGGAAGCATCCTTGTTCTCTGAACAAGGTGAAACGCACGGCAGTGGCTGTATGGGGTGAAGGCAGGCCAGTCCCCAGAAGAAAACCAGTAGCGGGAGGAGAGAGCAGCCCCACAACCCCCAGCACGCAGCCATGCTTCCTTGTGCAGGAAATAACACCATTTCCTATCAACCTCAAGCGTGTTTCTTATCATTGCTGCCTGCAACTGTCGTAATGTACTTCAGTTACTCACCTATCCGCACAGCACAGAAACACTAAAACTGTGAGTCAGGAGCACAAGGGCTCAGTTCATGATGCTGCGAGTGGGCTTCCCATCAGCTGCTGTCTCCTTCTGGGTCTTTCAGAGCAACACAAGCCTGCTGTGCGGCTGCAAGCACCAGCCCCTTAGTCAGAAAGGGAGCTGCAGTGACTGGGCTCCAGGCATCAGGAGCTGGGGTTACCTGTGGGGTTACTTGTGGGGTTACCTGTGGGGTTACCTGTGGGGTACCTGGCATCCCTCTGTGCTGGAAGCACTGTGCAATAGTATCGTTTCCTCCGTGTCCACAAAGTGTTAAGAAGTGGAAACCAATTGTTTCCACAGCAAGAATTAAGAAAATTCATCTAAAAGTTCCTGGAAGGGAATTATCTCCCAGCAATCAGATTCTGTAAGCTATATAAAACAGATCTATGCAAAGCTTATGAAATGTTCCATGAATCCTTTCGCATGGGCTAGAAAAGCAAAGTCTCGCTCAGAGCAGTGCTGGAAGAAGTGCTGTGTGCATTCCTGCCAGCCCAGCTCTGCTGCTGCTCCCTGGGCAGTGTGCAGGAGGACCTCCACGCCACCGCTGCTCTCTCTGCAGCCACAATCTCCACATTCCACCAACAAGTTTTGAGGAATCCAAGCCGGAAACCTCCCTGACTGCTCACGTCCCCAGACAGTAAATAACACACAGTGTGAAAGGAAATGATAGTTACCCGTGCTGTGCATGCTGCAATAACATGGCTTTACTCAGCCTTCCCAGCATAGAGGAGAGGCCAAGATCACACCTTACACACTCCTCCAATCACACCTCCTCCACTGGGGGGGAAACAACTCCATCAGTGCCAGGAGGGTCAGCGCTCATCCAAAAAGGGTCCCACAAGGCTACAGCACAGCATGCACCCCCACAGGCAGCATGCTTCTGGGGCTGGCAGTGCAGGGCTCCCCTCAGTGCCATTCACCCCCATGGTGGAGCCGAGCCCAGGCTGCGAGCTGCAGCCGCTGACCCAGCGTGGGGACGAGGATGAGGTGAGCAGTGACTGACTTTGCTCCCATTCGGTTGCTCAAATGTGGTATTTCAAAAGACTGCAAACAAACGTTGAAAGGAAAAATACGCCATTCTAGGGCAGCCTAACAAAAGCCAAGGGAGTTTCACCCGAGAGAGGTTTCTGAGATTGCAGTTTTACATAGATCACATGGAAGCAAACTGAAATAAACAGGATAAAAACTACAGCTGTGCCTGAGCCTGTTGGAGGCTGTAGGCTGCTGCTTGCCCAGGCCTGCTCTGCACGGGGACGCGGAGGAATTGCAGTCACTGTGGCCATGACTATCAAACCAAAATCATGTTCTACCTTATGCTAACACGAGGGTAAACACAAACCCCAAACCATTTAAACAGCAGCAGCCTGAGCCCGGCGGTGCTCCTGCATTGGTTTTGCAGGAGTAACCCAGAAGGAGCTCAGCACTGCACCGGGCTGGGGGAGCAGAGGAGCAGCCACGAGTAAACCCATGTGCAATAAACCTTCCTCTTTGCTGGCAGGTGATTGCTGAGGATCCACACATACCTTGCAGGTTCACTCTAGAGACAGGTGGCTGACTCGTTGCAGGAGATCTCCTAAAAGGAATAAAGAATACTCCATCAACAGGTGCTATTTTTACACTTCAAGCACTGCCACTGCTGATACTCATAACTAAAAGGCTGTTATCAGGTTCATAAAGAAGCCTAAAACACTTCCAAACGATCAGCAATTCGTAAGCAATACAATATAGCTGTCAGAAAAATCCAAACGCCTTGTGTCCCTGGGCTAAGCACACACACACACACACGTGCTAGAAAGAACACACAACAGAAAAGATGTGCCCTCATCCCACACTTTATCTGCTGCTTTGAGGTCCAGCTACACCCGGAGGCCAGCAAGGGCTGGGTGCTGTGATTGCAGGGCTCACTGGGGCCCCACATCAAGGCCTTCCCTTGCTCATATTTCACCAACTGAGTCTGGCCCAAAGCAATGCCCACTGTTACACCAGTGTGCAGGTACAGGGCTACAATGGAGATGTAAGGCTTCACATCCCACCATCAGCAGCCAGAGCAGCACCCGCAAGCACATCATGAGATGCTGCAGCCGCTTGCATGAGCTCCAAAACAAAACAGAATGGCATTTCTCAAGTAGAAGCAGCAGCTCCGTCAGGGAACAGTGGATTCCAGGAAGGCTGAGAGCTATCTGCAAATTTGGCTGACGTTAAGCAAGCAGGTTGGGCTGGAAAAAATGGTGCAATATTTCTCCAAACGTCAAAAGATTCCATTGTGACGTCTGCCAAATAAAACTTAACTTTTCAAGTTGAAGCCATTATTCACATGAAAATGAAAAGAAAGGGAAAGAAAGGAAAAAAAAAAAAAGATAAAAGGAAAAGGACAAGGGCAAGGACAAGGAAAAGGAAAAGGAAAAGGAAAAGGAAAAGGAAAAGGGAAAAGAAAAGGGAAAAGAAAAGGGAAAAGAAAATGAAAGAGGACTTCTTTTGTAAAGAAGTTAAAAGGAGATAAAAATCAAAACAGTCTGTTTGGGATTGAGGACAGAATTCCGGGCTAACCAGAAACGAAACTCAGGGCTTCTGCTTCCCAAAGGGGTTTCGGAAAGGTTCCAACCGAAGGCGGATCCCCCCCAGCCTCCCTCCCAGCCCCAACCTTCTGAGTCAGCCACTGAACTGAAACATCCATTTTTTGGCTGTTTCTCCTTTGAAGCTGCATTCAAAGCCAGCGAGCGGCTCCGTCCCGCTGCCACCGCAGCTGCAGGGGTTCTGCAGCGGGGCTCCAGGAAGGCCAACCCGGTGGGATGTGCAGTGCTGGACAGGCCACAGCCCTGCTTCAGAGCCTCGGACCCAACCTTCTGCCTGCCAGCAGCCCGGAGCTGAGCGGGGCTCCCTTCGCTTTTTGGGTGCTTTCCAAAAGTTCTGCTTTTTTCCGGGCTCCGGATTCTTCGAAGGGCTCAGCCTGCTGTGCGCACGCTGGGTGCTGACTCCTCTGAAAATCTGCCCCGACCTGCCTGCACAGAGCCTTTGAAAACTGAAATCTTGGAATCTTTGGAAAACAGAAACTCCTCATTAGGGACAGCCAGTATCAGAGGAGATGTGCTCCAGGTATCTCCAGCCGCCTCGGTGCAGAGATGTGCCCTCGGGGGGCGGGGAGGGGTGAGCTCATGTTCAGAAGGGTATTCCCCACTGCAGAGCTTGGAAATAGAACAGCACCACTCCCAGCACCCTCCGTGACGTCCTGGCTGCACCCATCCCAGTTTCTACAGCTGTGAGGGAGTGGGCAGTGAATTGCCATTGATCCACGTCCTGACACCGCTGTCCCCTCTGGGACACCGCAGCCGATGGGCGTCACATGGAGCTGCTGTCAGATCCCCTGCTCCACATCTGCCAAACCCGGTCTTTCAGAAGCCATTAATCACTCTCTCCTCTTTTCCACTCAGGAAATTGTCTGAAAAAACCCTGATGTTACCGTCCAAAAAAAAAAGTTATTGTTTTTCTCATTGTGTTTTTCCAGTCCTTCAGATTCATACCTTCCAGCACTTCTGTCAGTAAGTGGGGCAGCAGCCTCTTCTCCTTTCTTGGAACAGCAGGGGTGGAGGAGGGAGGAAGGAGAGGAAGGGTTAAAGAAGAGCAGAGGTTCCCATGATCCCCGGAGCAGAATTTTAAGAAGAATGCTGCGTATCATGAGACATATGATAAAATCATGAGCTGGCAGCACGGCGTAACCCAGCAGGGCTGCTTGGAGACCACGTGGGAAGCTCCGCAGCCCCTGGAAGCACATTCAGCCACGGACTGGGACGTTGGGCGTGTGATGGTTTCAACATTTGATGACTTTGACTTTGGCTGGGCAAATGGCTTCGTGCCTCGAGCAGATCTGGGAATGTTTTCAGGAGGACACTGCGAGATGCCTCTGCGTCCGACAGGTTACGCCCTCACTTCCTTCCGGCCCCAGATTCAGATTCCTCATTAGGAACTGCCAAAATACTCAGGCGATTCAAAAAAAGCAAAGCGGGGGAAAAAAAAAATAATAATAACGAGGAAAGGATCCTTTATTTCAGCCATCTGCTTTTCTATTAGCCTCCATCTCGGAACGCGGCGATTCATTTCCCATCACATCTTGCAAACAGAAATCAACGTGAGGAAAGCTCCGTGTCCAGCAAGACGCCGGGTGTGCGGGGAGCGCAGGGCCGCAGCGGGCACCGCGGTGTCCCCAGGGTGCTGCACTCGATGGGACAGCTCTCCTGGGGGCACGGCGGGGCGGAAAGCGGCGACGAGCGCTGGAGCTGGGTGGCCACGAAGCCACGAAGGTGCGACCCCGCGGCGACCAGGCGGGCGGCTGCGCTTTGGCGCCCCCACGCGGTCGAAGCCGGGACAGCGCCGGCCCCGCGCCCCGCCGCCCGCTCCCCCATCGCCGCCCGCTCCCTTTGGCTCCCCGCTTACTTGTTGGCCGTCCCGTGCAAATTGGTGAGCAGCGTGAAGTTGTTCCTCACGCTCCGCAAGCTGGCCAGCACCTGGAGCGAGCAGAACGGATTTGTGAGAGCTTCTCAAGCCAAACCTTTCCGTGCCAGCCCCGTGCAAGAGGCAGCAAGCTCCCAACTCACCTGTGCGAAAGGTGTGACGATCAGGTCATCTCCGTGCCTGGGGGGGGAATGGAGAACGTGGCTGTAAGTCACCGTGGCAGGGTGGAAGAACAGCACGCCCATCACTACACGGATGGATGCCCTGATGGCTGGGTCAGGGCATGGGGATGGCTGTGGCACCGCTGGCACAGCGCAGGGACAGCCAGGAAACTCAGAGGCAGGGCAGTGCGCTCGTATGGAGGTGGAAAAACCCATCGTGGCCCAGGTAAAGGTCAGCTCTGAATTTCCTGGCTTTTGTGTCGCCGTGCTTCACATTATCCAAACACTGGATGTTTTCATCGTGGAAGATTTGAGCAGAAGAGCTGAGGGAAGGACAGCATCACCAGCACTGGGAGGGATTTCTTGGCAACGCTGCACAAAGCACTCACACAAGAAGCCTGGGCTCAGGGCGCTGGGGCAGGAGGGATGCTCTGCTCCCCCTGTGGGAATTCACCACACCTCCCATTGAGATTCAGGTTTCTGCTTCATGGAAAAAAAATGGTAGGGCTTTTACAGCAGCTATGCTTTTTTGTTTGAGAGCATTTTTATGGTCATCTTAAACTTCAAACTGTGCCTTTTAAAATAAAGAGCTGTAAATTCAGGGCACTCATGGAAGCTTTGCGCTCCTTTTGAGGGGTAGGGATCCCGTCAAATCAACCTCTCTGCTGCATTTTTCACTCCATTCTAGTGGATGACCTACCACTATGGGGTCAGACAGAAGAAGAAGTGCAGCAGGGGTAGGCGTGCTGCCTCCTTGAGAACTGAGGGGATGCCAACCAGGCACTGAGAGCATGCAGGGAAAAGCAAGCACAGAGGGCACTGCGGGCACACCGTGCTGCAGCACTGTGCTGAGTACAGCCCAGCTCTGCCCACTGCTTTGCACCCCAAACACCAGCTCCCAGTGGCACTGGGGTCCTCTTGTATTTCACCCCCTGGCTTCGAAAGCACTTCTGCTGGATTATGGGGCAAAAATGAGTTCCTGCAGGATGGGATGGGGATGAGGAAGTCATGGCTGGACAGACCACGGCAGCACGTGTCTGCTGGGCTGTGAAATGTGAGCAGTGCTCACACACACCTCTTTTTGGGGATTGCAGGAAGTCATGCAGAGCCCTCAGCCTCAAATATGACGTGAGCTGAGTTTGTGCTTACTGTTCGCTTGGGAGAGAGGAGTTCCTGGACATGGTCTTTGGAGACAAGTCGTAGTCGCTGTCTGAGCGGTAGAGGAAGGACTCCCGGCGCTGGCTGTGCCCAGGGAAGGTGGTGTGCAGCACCAACCCTGAGGAGGAGCTGGCCTGCGGGTCCAGCGGGCTGCGGCCGGGGGAAGGGCCATTTTCCACATCGAAGCTGCAAACAAAGCACAGACTGCGTCACACATGCCTGCCAACAGCCAGCTTTCGGTGCACAGAAGCACAGAATCATTCATATTGGAAAAACCCTCCAAGATCCCCGAGCCCAGAGCAGCCCACCCCCCATGCCCACTGCCCACGTCCCTCAGTGCCACATCCCCGTGGTTCTGAAACACCTCCAGGAATGGTGACCTCCCCACCTCCCTGGGCAGCTGTGCAGTGCTGAGTGTTCTCTGGAGAAGAGATTTCTCCCAGTATCCAGCCTGATCCTCTCCTGGCACGGCTCTCTCAAGTGCTGTGCATTGTGCCAAACCTCACCCACATCCTCGCAAATGCCATGGGGACAGAAGGCGCTGTGCCATGGAGCCATACACACTGAGCACACCGGCAGTGCCACACTGTCCTCCTCCTCTTTTGGAGAAAGGTTTTGGAATCCCACGAGGTTTGTGAGGAGGGGGCATCCAACCACGTTTCACTTCTCAGCCATCCCAAGGTGTCAGCTGAGCGAACATCAAACAGCTGTGCTGTAAAACGGAGGTTTGGAAGAGAACCCAGGCTGTCTGTCACCGTTTCCATTCTACACCCACTTCCTTATGGTTTCTCAGCTTGGCTGCTGCTCGTGGCTGAGGTCACTCTGGGCACTCCTGCAGGTGACATCCCTCAGAAAGCAGCAACAGACAGACGTGCTGTTCTCTGCTCTGCTGCTCAGCCACACCAAGCACCTTTTGCATTACCAGCTGATGACTTAAGGAGCAAGTGGTCAGATATCGGTATCGTACAGCATGTGGCTGTTTGCAACTTGGCTTATGCACTGATCCCTCTGTGCTCGAGGGGCAGGAAGGTGTTTCTATGGCTCCAGAACCGACTTACTGGGGAGGAAAAGGCAAAGATTGGGTCCCCAACACTTGTCCAGTCCTCACAGCCGCAGGTGCTCCATGCCAATTGGCCCTGCACACGGTTCTTCCTGAATTAGGAAGCACATGCATTTAACTAATGCAATTAAAAACACTGATTTCCAGTGCGGACATGGATTCCTTCCTTGGAATCCAAAGGCAGGGCAGTGGTGTGATACAGTGTGCAGGGAGGGCAACCCCTGCACACACCGTGCTGCTCTGTAGCATCCACTCACCCAACTGCTCAGTGCTTGAACCTGGTAAGGGCTCCATTACATTCCTTTCCTCCTTGTTATCTGCTCTTCCACCAACAGCCTGACTACACTTTATTTCCAGCCACAAGAAGAAACTCAGCTCTGTAACTGCCGTAGCTACAACCACAGGCTGATAATTAATCTGTCACTATTGAGACAATTAGCTCTGATGACGCAGGTATTCCAGACTTCTCCAGCAGGACTCGGGGAAAGCAGCCCCTCTCCTCCTCCCGCTGCAGCCCTTAAGAAGCAGAGCAGAAGGGGATGCAGGGCAGAGCAGGGCAGCAGGTGGCAGGAGTTAGCTGCAGCTCGCAGCCTGTGCACCCGAGGGGCACCTGCAAAAGATTTCATTGCGGTGCAGATGAATGGAGGGAACGGGCAACAGCGTGGCAGGAGGAAATCACGCTTAGCACAGCCTGGCTTCATGCATTCATCTGGAAAACAAACGAAATGACTGACAGCAACCCTGGCTGCCCGTGTTCTGCAGTCTGACAGCAAAGATGAGTCTGAGTCGCTTAGCAGCTGGATGAGGTGATGGTAATGGTCTTTACCAACCCTCGTGGTTCCATGAGTAGTCAGTGCAAACCAGATCCACCATACAAAACACACAGACCCTGGGGCTTCAGCCTGCTGAACCAGGCAGGGCGTTGTGGTTTGCCCAAGGAGGCTGTGGATGCCCCATCCCTGCAGGCATCCAAGGCCAGGCTGGATGTGGCTCTGGGCAGCCTGGTCTGCTGGTTGGTGACTTGCACATAGCAGGGGGTTGGAACTGGATGAGCAGTGTGCTCCTTTGCAACCCATGCCATTCTATGATTCTGTGATCCTATGATTCTTGCCCACATTTGGCATTTCAATGTTTCCACTCTTCCATGCACAACCCGAGGGCTGTGGCTGCAGCAGCACACAGCTGTGCTCCCGGTGCTGTTTGGCCACACTCTGCTCATCACAAGGTCCCTCTCATGACCTGCACCGCCCCGTTCCTCACAGAGCCATTCAGCCACATTCTAAAAACCACCGGCAATGAGAAAGATGCACTTTGTTACATCGAAATCTGCACGAGCACAACCGCTTCTCACTGCTATCTGATTTTCTGCACCTGTTTCCCATTATCACAGCAGCTTGCTGGTTTCTCTAATAGATCCTTCATGCAGAAAGGACTTGAAACCACCGGTGCTTCTTAACCCAGGCCTGCAGGCTGTGCAGACACAGAGCAGTGCATCCTGCAGAGCTGCCCCATGGCGTGCCCAGCACCGCAGCCCCTGCTGGGCTGCAACAGCCACTGAGAAGCACAGGAGGGAGGCAGAAAGCAGCCCGGGCTTTCTTCTAGCACAGAGCCTCCAAGAGCCCTAATCCTTTTCATGTTTAGCACAGATAAGTTGCTTGACGTTATCCTGTAACAAGTTAATGCCATGTGGTTGGTAAAGTCCCCCGGAGAAGAAATCCTGAATTTCAAAACCCAGTTGTTATTCCTCCAAATGCACATCCCCGGCTGCTTCATCTTTGTTGCTGTTAATCCCTGCTGAACACAAGGCGCAGTCCCACACCCCTGCCTCCACTACCACAGCCTGGAAACACAGATGGGTGTGCACACAATGGGTGTACACAGCAGGTGTGTGTGTGTGCATACCACGTACGTGTGCACTGCACCACAGGTGTGTGCACGGCCACCCCTTGCACAGGAAGCAATGTTACTCCTGAAGGGCTTTTCTCTTTCTTCCCAAAAGCACCCCGGCATTAGGAGATGCACCCAGCCTTTTCACTTGGCTCATAAAATAATTATTTGACCTGATTTTTTGATTTATTTCTATAATTGGTGCCGGCGTTCCTGCCAGCAAAAAGACAATGAAATGTTCTAAGATGGTATTCAGATCATTAAATCCTTTGGATGCTCAGCCCTCCCAAATATAATTAATCTGGTTGGTTACATTTCAGCAAGATTTTACTTGCTTCACATCTTCCAATCACATGCACTCCTGTTCTCTTCCAGGAACAGCAAAAGACCGTGCACAGCCAATGGCCACATCCACCACTGAGCTCCTCACTGCACTGGGGGAGGTTCAGACCAGATGGAAAACCTGTTTTACCATGAGGGTGCTCAAAGACCAAAACAGGCTTCCTAGAGAGGTGGGTGATGCCCCTGCTGGTGTTCAAGGGGCTTTGGATGACACCGTCAGTAATATACTTAAACTTCTGGTTAGCCCAGAGGTGGTCAGGCAGTTGGGACCCAATGATTTTTGAAGAGAGTCCCTTCCAATGGAGCTACTTCATTCCACTCTGTTCCATTCCACTCCATTCTTTTCCACTCCACTCTACTCCATTCCACTCCCTTCCATTCCATTCAGTTCCATTTCATTCCATTCCATTCAGTTCCATTTCATTCCACTCCATTCCCTTCCACTCTATTTCTACTCCACTCTACTGCACTCCATTCCATTCCATTCCATTCCATTCCACTCCATTCCACTCTATCCCATTCCATTCCATTCTACTCTATCCCATTCCATTCCATTCCATTCTACTCCATTCCATTCCATTCCATTCCATTCCATTCCATTCCACTCCACTCCACTCCATTCCATTCTACTCCATTCCATTCCATTCCACTCCATATGCATGCTGTGGGCTGATCCCTGCTTCCATGAGTGCTCCATGGGATGAAGCCCAAAGAGGTGAGGGATGGTGCCAGTGCAGCACACTGAGCACCTGCAACCACCGCAGCCCTGCCACAGCCCTGCCACAGCCATGCTCCTTTGAGTGGTTTCACCAGCTACAATAAATCCCTTGGCATGATCAAACATGGAGGCTCTCCTCCAGTCTGTGGCTTTAGCATGCACTGCTCCTTCCTCAGGATGCTTGAAAAGGGGGAAAAGAGGCCAACTGAAGGGTAAAAAAGGGAAATCTGTGCTTGAAGCCATACATTCCAGCAAGGACATGGTTAGTGGGCATGGTCGGGATGGGTTGATGGTTGGACTTGGTGATCATGGAGGTCTTCTCCAACCTAAATGACTGTGACTCTGGATGGGCAAGCTGGATCACCAGCAAAGCCAACTGCAACCCCACGCTGCCTCCAGCTGCACCTGCTCAGACCCACACAGCCCCCTGGCACGGAGCTGTTCTGCTGTGAAAGCAATAGCACTTTGCTGCTGGCACCCCAAATATCACTTAGTAACACTGTCGCTTTCTCTGGACATGCAAATCTTCCCCAGACCTGCTGCAGGGCTCAGTTTGATCTTAATTAGCAATTCCTTTGAAGCCCTGCCTCATGCTGACAATTACTTGCTGGAGACACCATTCCAGAGTCACTTCAAATCACAGTGCTGTGCTGCTCAAAACAGACGTGGGAGCACAGAGGAAAACAGGTCCTGCATGTTGGAGATACTGAATGCAGCTACAGGGCATCAAGGTCAGTAATGGCAAACAGTGCAGCAACGCAGCCATCAATACTGGGGGATTAGGAAAAAAATAGTTCTTGCTACCTCCAATTGTCATCTAATAATGCAGGAGATGAAGTTTTCAGTGTGAATAAGCATAAAAGTGTAGGCATGGCAGAAAACCACTGTATCTGACTGTGCTTCAGGCTCAAGTCATCTTCATAAATGCTTCATTCTTCAGCTAATAGAATTTAGGCATCCTGAGAGTTTACTGCGTTCAGGAAGGGTTGCACTGAGCTAATGGAGGACACGTTGGTGGAAGCAATCAAGGTCAAGTAATGGGCCATCTAGAAAGAAACTGAGAAACTGTGTGCAAAACCAGAAGATAGTTGGAACAGATGAGTTATTGCAATGGAGAACAAGAATGGTTTGGCTTCACTGATGGAACACAGGGGAGAAAACATGTAGAATGAGTGCTGA